ATGGCTGCTGTGACGTCATGTGAAAACGCTCTATAAAAAACCGTTCTTTTTTTTTCTCCTCTGTTTGGCTCAGTTTCTTTTATCTTTAAACAGTGAACTTGTGACTTGTGACTTGTGACCCTATTTACAACTTAAGGGAAGGGTGTCTCGAGGCATCTTTTGGGCTGTGAAATTGGAATCAATTTTTGTTGATAACATTTCTTTCATGTTCTTTGCAAGGTAGCAAAAGGTTCCGAGTTTAAACATTGTTCCAGGAAAAGGTTGGTAAAACTTAGTCAAACAGAAGTGCGAGCAGTGAAATTTCATTCGTGAGAAATCATCGTCGGCCGAGTCAACAACGCGAACGAAAGATGAATATTCACTAGCAATAAATGAAAGTACAAGGTTGTACAGATAACCTTTGCACCAAAACCGTGACTGAATCACCCGCTTTGAAGTTGCCCAAGAAAGGTTTTTCCAAACTTGTGACCGTAAGTTGCAGAGTTTACTCTTTCTAAAACGAAATGACATATCAAAGATAAATAATGAAGCGAGGAGAGTCGGATGCCTCGCCGAAGACTCAAAAATTTCTTTGAGTTTATACTAAATCAAGTCGCCCAAAAATGGAAGGGACCTCTTCTGTTAAAAGTTTGTCGAAAACTGCTTACGAGATTATCCTCACTCTACCCTGGGAACAGGGGTACCCTTCTCTCTCAGCTCGGTGAGGGACGAGAGGGAACAACAGCTCGAAACTGCTCAATCATTTCATCGCAACAAGGGACGAATAAATTAAAATACTGGATTTTGACAAGTTTTTCCCGGTGTTACACTTCCACATGAATGATAGATAGAATGCTAGACTAACGTCGATATCTACTGGACTGTGATTGCCTAAAAATTACAATGGGCAACACTGCACTGGCAGGCAGTCATCAAATTCAAAACTTTCGTCCGGTAAATAACTGGCAATCTTTGATCTTTAACTGTTTGCTGTTTGCGTATATTTTATATAAGTTTACCTTCCTTCATTTTTTGAGAATACTTTTCTCGCGAAACTACTGCGAACGTTGCGCGGGTGAGTAAGCCCAGTGAGATGACCTGTACCACTATCACCAATGCTGTCCTTTCTCCTGTCCAGAGCAGTCAAAGCTCTATTCACTTTTAGGGCTTCAGAGATATGAGTCGCAACACTATCACTAATTTTGTTTTTTTTCACATACAGATTAATCAACGTTCCATTCACTTCTAGAGCTTGAGATAGATGAGCCGCACCACTATCGCCAATGTTGTTCCAATTCACAGACAGAAAAGCCAACGTTCTATTCACTGTTAGAGCTTCAGAGAGATGAGCCGCACCACTATCGCCAATTTTGTTGTTTTCCATATAGAGACTAGTCAACGCTCCATTCACTTTTAGAGNTTCATGTTCTTTGCAAGGTAGCAAAAGGTTCCGAGTTTAAACATTGTTCCAGGAAAAGGTTGGTAAAACTCAGCCAAACAGAAGTGCGAACAGTGAGATTTCATTGGTGAGAAAGCATAGTTAACCCAGTCAACAACGCGAGCAAACGATGAATATTCACTAGCAATGAATGAACGTACAAGGTTGTACAGATAGCCTTTGCACCAAAACTGAATCACGCGCTTTGAAGTTGCCGAAGACAGGTTTTGTCAAACTTGTAGCTGTAACTTGCAGAGTTTACTCTTTCTAAAACGAGATGACATATCAAATTGCCAAAAACTGACTTGAAGATAAAGAGTGATGCAAGGGGAGTCGAATGCATCGCCGAAGACTCAAAAATTTCTGTGAATTTATACTAAATCAAGTCGCCCAAAAATGGAAGGGACCTCTTCTGTTAAGAGTTTGTGGAAAACTGCTTACGAGATTATCCTCACTCTACCCTGGGAACAGAGGCACCCTTCTCTTTCTGCTCGGTGAGAGACGAGAGGTAAGCACACCTCGCAACTGCTCAATCGTTTCATCACAACAAGGGACTGATAAATTAAAATACTGGCTTTTGACAACTTTTCCCGGTGTTACATTTCCGCGGCATGAATGATAGATAGAATGCTAGACTAACAACGATATCTCCTGCACTGTGATTGCCTAAAACTTACATTGGGCAACACTACACTGACAGGCAGTTATCAAATTCAAAACTTGCGTCCGATGAATAACTGGCAACCTTTGATCTTAAATTGTTTGCTGTTTGCATATTTTTCATATAAGTTTACCTTCCTTCATTTTCTGGGAATACTTTTCTCGAGAAACCACTGAGAACGTTGCGCTGGAGAGTAAGCCCAGTCGGATGACGTGCATCACTATGACCAATGCTGCCCTTTCTCCTGTCCAGAATAGTCAACGTTCTATTAACTTCTAGAGCTTCAGAGAGATGAGCCGCGCCACTATCGCCAATGTTGTTGTGTCCCACACGAAGATGTCTTAACGTTCTATTCACTTTTAGAGCTTCAGAGAGATGAACCGCACCACTATCACCAATGTTGTTCTCACTCACATCCAGATAAACCAACGCTCTATTCACTTTTAGAGCTTCAGAGAGATGAGCCGCACCACTGTCACCAAGGTTGTTACTTCTCACAAACAGACGAGCCAACGTTCCATTCACTTTTAGGGCTTCAGAGAGATGAGCCGCACCACTATCACCAATGTTGTTCCCACTCACATCCAGATAAACCAACGTTCTATTTACTTTTAGGGCTTCAGAGAGACGAGTCGCACCACTATCACCAATGTTGTTGTCGCTCAAAACCAGATGAGTCAACTTATTGTTGACTTTAAGATGCTCGGAGAGGGAACGCACATCATGATCACTAATCTTTTTGCCACTCAAATGTAAACTGGTCAAGGTGGTATTGATCTCAAGTGCCTTGTATGAAGAATGTGGACTTGAAGCGTCAATGTCCAATGCTGAACCAGAAAACTTTTCAACTGTAAGGAAAACCACAAAAAGGAAAGAAAAATAGTTGAGAACTACTCCGCTTATACCATGGCTTATGTAATGTTGTTTCTCACTTGCATAATTTATTAAGAAGAGAAAAGTTGTTGTTCAACACCCTGTACGAATTTTATAGTTCGTTTAACAAATAAGGTAACGCGCGCATGTTAGTCATTATCGATCACGCAGCAAATGCCCTATCTTCGTCTGTGATGTAGCGTTTTCACAGACCGAGCTGACAGAAAATTGGTAGATCACAGTCGAGTCTAGTTTGAAAGCCTCCTTTCAACCTTATTAGTCCTCCTAATCAGAATAAAGCAAAATCTAAGAAACGTATGCGTAGCAGAATAGGCCGAAAGATCGCCGGAATTTAACAAGAACGACCTATTGTTATTAATGTGCTAACCAGGAAGCTATTGACTGAATTAGGGTTCAGGTACTAGGTGTATCCATGTGTAAATCGATGTAAGCAAGCGCACCTAGGCACCAAACGTTTTTTCAGTTCCATTTTGTTAAAATTTAAAAAGAACGACGTATTGTATAAATGTGCTAATCAGGAAGCTATTGACTTAATTAAAGTTTAGGTACTAGATGCATCGATGTGTAAATCGATGCAAGCAAGCGCACGTAACCACCGAACGTTTTTTAGTTGCATTTTGTTAAGAATTCTTTTATTTTACCGTACAAGGAAAAGAGTAGGAACACCTCTTACTCCTGGAGTGTAGTAGTTTGTGTAACAACGTGTTTTTTTGCGACCTGACGCGAAGTGCCGTGATTATTTCGAAGTATTCAGTTTATTCTGCTCGCTGAAGCAAAATGCATGGAACACATCCTGTTCATTCTTGGAACTGGGATTAGTGGTTCAATTGAAAGAATAGTCGGGGTTATAAAATTCTACTCGCTTCTACAATATATCAAGGTCGCCCAGGACCCTTGCTTTTCAGTAAATTT